AGGGTTTAATTAGGGGTTTAGGGGGTCAGGGCTCAACATCTGTACCATGCGTGTTTGTTGATTTGCCTTGTTGGTGTGCTGCTGTTTCTTCATGTTTTGAGAGTCATTTTTGTGTTGGTGTTGCCTAGTTTTGCGACATTCTAGGGTTGAGGCTACGGTCTGGGATTCGGTATGATCTCCTCGATTACGCATGCAAGCCAAGGGTGGCCATCAACAAAAAGCTGAACCAGCAACTATCAAAACACCCACAAACGATCGTGACCAGGCGTCGCTTAAGAACCAACGAGTGGGTATCCCTTGGATTCAGAAGTTTCCCAATGCTCCACCCTGATAAGCAGAGTCAAACTGCTGTTGTTGGCAACAGTCGTGAGAAGTAGGAGGAGCCGGCGAAGGACTGTTATCGCGCTACAATGGTGTGGTTGCTGTTGGTGTTTCCCTCCCCTAAACCCTAAACCCTAAACCCTAAAACCTAAACCCAACCGAAACACTACACTTGACTGTGGCGACTCTCCCAACCTCTCTGCTGCATTATCTGTGGCTTCAATCTGGCAGCTCGTTCTGCTTGTCCAGCGTCATGGCAAGCTCCTCCCCCCCCACAGAGCCCAGATTCACGGTGCATAAGACGTTCCGAGTCGTTCCTAAATGTTTGGGTTTCGAGCTTCGGGGGTTAGATCCTTGAAAAGATACAACACAAGATCCTTGAAAGGATACAAGGTTTATGAGGTCTTCATGAGGGTTTCGTAAAGCTTTAAGAAACGAAGGGTTATTACAAGGGTCTGATTATTATTATGAGGTTTGAAAACATTTAAATTGAGGGTTTGGGGTTTAGGTGCTCCGTTGCGACTTCAAACAGGGCTCGAAGGTACGGTCAGGTTTTATGGGGGTCCTTTGATTCGATCCAACTGAAAACTAGACAATGGTACCCTGGTTAACGTGAGCACACCCCGCTTTGGTGTTCTACTCCGACGATGCTGTAAGGTACTCGTTGATGCTGTAAGGGGTATGCGTTCTACTCGCTGACGCTGTAAGGGATATGCAACTACTTCGCGGTGCAATCTGTCACCCTCAACCCTAAACCCTAAACCCTAAACCCTAAACCCTAAACCGTGTACGCAAACCGTGAGGCCACTTGAACCTTCCACAGTCAAAGCGCAGAGTCCCCAAGGTCACCCGACTAACTCCACACAGGGGGCTTCTTAAAGCCTAGCACGGTTTAGGGTTTAGGGTTTAGGGCTAATAGGAGTTTATTGTAGAATTCCGGGCTCTATCCTTGGAGTTTCAGGTTCCAGGGTAGGTACTACGAGGGCTGTTAGTCCCCTAAAATGGGTGGTCATCAAAGAACTAACTACCCATGAACCTCTCAGAAGAGTTCATCATAGCATTCAAGGCTGTATACGTGTAGTTCTTTGAATTCGGGTACTTTTTTTAGCCCCCCCAACCGAACCGAGTTTAGAGAACTGCCCACATACGGCTGCGTCCGTAGGGCTCCCCCCCTCCTTTAGGATGCAGAGAAAGCCTGAAAGCCGAGTCCGAATTCACCTGACAGCCTGGGCTTCAAATCCTAAAACCCTAAACCCTAAACCCGTAGAAGGTATGCGTCCCATAGAAATATCGGAGGCCCCCAGAAACAAGACACATAACGCTAAAGAGCCAAAACGTCTCCAAAAGCCGGTTTGTTGAAACCTAAACCCTAAACCCTAAACTTCCAAAGCTTAACCATGTCACCGACTGCGCAAGGCTTGAAGGCAACATGTGAATGAACCACGGTATTGTCGCCACAAATGGGTAGCGTCCCTTTCGGGTCCTTCTTATAAGGGTGCCGCCCTATTTGGGGAACCTCAAATAAAAAGGGACCCTAATGTAGAGAACTACCCTTATACATACCTACACCTACATAACTTCAAGCCTCGAGAACCCCAAGGCCATGAACCCCAAACAGAAGCCTTCAAAACCCTACCTACAACTCTTCAAGGAAACCTTCAAGCATCCCTTAACCCCTAAACCCTAAACCCTATAAATCCTAAAACCCCAAACCCTAAACCTTGAACCCTGTAAATCCCTCCCTAAACCCCAAACCCTAAACCCTAAACCCTAAATCCTGAAACCCTAAAGGAAGCCTCTGGCATGCCGGAAACTCGAAACACCCAACCGCAATGTGGGAGTTTCCGAAAACTAGGGGTTCCTTTGTTTGGGGGGTCCTTATAATAAGG